AATAACCTGGGAATCAGCACTGCAAGTGGACAGAGCAAAGAAGTGACATGCACAGGACCCAGTGAGTGCTGGGCCCATGCCCCAACTTCTCACAAGGTGCCGCTCCCACCCACGCCTGGAAGTGACCACAGTCCATACCGAGGCAGGTGGTGCAGAGAATCTGGGGAGACAAGTGTAGAGCCGCAGTGGGGGTGATGCTGGTGGTGGGGGTGATGTCGCCTCGCGTTTACGGGATACCTGCTGTGTCCCGAGCACCGTGTTATCCAGGTCAGGGTGCCCAGAGAATGTCAGTCGTCACCATCCAGCCTCCATCTCCAACTCCGAAGAGCATAAACAGGAGAAAGGATTAGAGACATAACGGGTGACGTTGGAAGACCTCTCAGCCCTTTCTCGAGAGACCAGGTAAAAATTAATGAAGGCAGCAGAGGCTGTGGCCATCAACGAAATGTGGTTAATGTAACAGACACCCGTGTCCCACCACTCAGCTTTAGGAGATGCCATGGTTTTTCTGTACTTACAGCAGACCTTTTTGATTTAGTGAATAAAATAATACCAAGACATTTCAAGTACCATTTCTGTTCCTCTCTTTCCCTCCTCAGTGGAAACCGGATTCTTAAAAGTGATGAATATCCTTCCCTTTTGTACTTTTGATAATAGATGTGCATCCAAAAATCGTACGTAGTATTGTTTCCTGTGTTACTTTTATGCAAATTGTATCTAAATGGACATGTTCTTTTTCACTTTCTTCTCCCTCCCCCTCATATTTTGTTTTTGAGAATTTTCCAGGTTGATATGGGAGACCTAATTCAGTCACTTCAACTGCCACAGATTGGTCTGTTGCATAAATTACCTTATCCAATCCCCTATTAGAACATTTAGGTCATTTTCGATTTGCTAACCAAAACAGCACTGCAGTGAAAATTCTGGTACACGTCTCCTTGTGCACGTAAGAGCGTTTCTCTAGGCTACAGATATAGGAGTGTGTTGTGGGATTATAGGGTATAAATGTTTTCGACTTAACTAGGTATTAACAAATTACTTTCCAAAGTGGCTGAAACAATTTACACTATCAGTAATAGCAGGGCAGGAGTTGCTGCTTGGCAGAGTCTTGTTTTCTCAAATCTTCAAGGAGCTGATTATTCCTACACTGTTTCAACAGTTGCAGTGCATAGAGAAAGACAAAACTCACTTGACTGTTTTTATGAAGGCTGTATAACCTGGAAGCCAGGGCTGACATAGATCACCACAGAAAAGGTAGTTAGAGAAGGTTTATGCAAACAGCTTGAACGTAGTTAGCGAATAGAAGCAAATGACACACCATGATGGTGTGCACAGTCCAGGAACTGTTCCGTTTAGGAAACTTTTAAAAATGCCTTTACCAAATTAACAGGACGAGGGGAAAAGAAGCATGCAATTAATAAGCCATAAATACACTTCATATAATTTAGTATCCACTTCTGATACTTGAAATGGAAATAGGGGATATGCTTTATAAATATTTTTTAAATACACATTTCAATCCAAAAATTACCATCATAATTCATTGTGAAAATGCTACAAGTATTCCATTAGAGCCACAAAGTTATGAGTGCCCTTTATCACTACTATTGTATAACATTTTTCCAGAAGTGCTAAACAAAGCAATTAGACAAGAATATAAAAGCAGTCCTGAACGTTGGAAGAGACAAAACAATCATAATTTGTAGATAATAAGGTTGTATTCTTGGAAAATCTCGAAATAATAGAAAAAGTGGGCACTGTGGAATGGGGGCTTGCCTCCTTCAGCCCTGAGCCTGCAGAGCCTAGCGTTGGCCTGGCCCAGAGTCTCTGCTTGATAAATGCCTGTGGATGAGTGCAGGGTGTTGAGGCCAGCATTCCCCAGAGCACGCTCTCTGGAAGGAGCGCAAATCCATGTTATGGGATAAGGCATTCCATGGACAAGTTGGGTTGGGGAGCATGAGATGGGATCAAGACAAATGAGTTCGTTTACCGCAGAACATCTTAGATCCTTTAACATGAGGATACACATCATGACCCTCCAAGAGTCTCCCAGCCATCATGACTGCAGAGCCCCTTGCTTGGAGCACTTTGGGGTATCCCATATCATGGAACATTCTGGGATGGAGTATGCCCAGAAGAATATTCAACAAACTATTAAACTAGGGGATGGGATATGGGTGGTCACTAATTTGTCTTTGTGCTTTGTGTTGTTCGAAATGTTTACAGCAAGTGAGCAGGTATCATTTTATACACACATAAGATAAAAAAGAATAAACGCTAAAAATGTGATCTTTTGCTGAATGTCAAAACCAACTTTATTTTACCAAATCATGAATTCTACAGAAGTTGTTTGGAAAGATGAAAGGCCAGCTTGAACCAAATGGAAACGTGTGAAATAGCAGAACCAGATTTTTTGGTACTCAGATTCCACCTTCCCCACCTACTTATAGAGGGACTTCGGGGAAATCACTTCACCTCTTTGAATCTCATTCTGTGACACAGCCATCTCACAGAGTGGATGCTTCAACGCAGTAAGACGTAATAAGCCCCCAGTCAGTGTTAGCTACTTTCACTATCACTAATGTTGATGGCCCTAAATTAAATTGTGCCACCTAAGTATGTCTCAGTGTTTGAGGTAGTTTATTCCAATCTGTTCAAGTCACCCTCTTCTACGCCCAAACCCCTCAGCTTTGCTAAAGGACCACAGACAAAAGGTTTCAGGTGGGTCCCGGGTTTAATCACACTCAGATTTGGCAGGTTCCCCGCTGGCCTCCCTCTGGCGTGTGGTTGTACCCACAGCCCGTCCCCTCCCAGTAGGGCTGCGGCGACTCTGAGCGGCTATGGAGAACCCAGCCTGGGGAGAGACTTTGGGAGGCCTAAGGATGCTGAGAAGTCGGCCCTGCAGCTGGGTCTTGTGTTTGTTTATGGAGCAGTTATTACAGTAACATCTGGATGCCTTAGATGATACCGGGAACAGCAAAGATTATGTTTAGCTGTCTGACGTATTTTAAGGGATGTAGCTTTTATTCTGCATGATTAGGAAGTAATTAGCGGCTTAAACTTGATGCCTTCACTCAGAGTCGATTCCATGACTCTCTCTCCTAGTACAGGATGAGGAACATGGTGGAATTCCTTTTATTAATAAATTACCGTTATCTACCCGCTGTTTATAGCCTCAATGCAGAGCTTTCTGTCCTTGTGTTGAATAATTTATCACTTAAGCTGACTTTTTCATGGAGCCCCACGAGTCTTGGGAAAGGCAAAATGAACAAGTTAGCCAGTGGCCTGACCCTCTAACAAGCTGCACCCAAACAGTCCCAGCCACCGCCCACCAAGCAGAAGAGAATAAAAGAAAAAAACAGGAAAAATACTAAACTCCAAGAGTAGTGTAGGACCAGAGGGGTCCTCAGGATTGTGACTGGGTTAATCTGTGTTCGGGTCCCACCTCCACCGTGCAGCCTCCGTTTCCATCTAAAATCAGTGCTCTCCTCACCTGCAAAGTGGAGCAGGTGACAGTACCAACCTCATCGTGCTATTGGGGCATCCAGGAAAGAGACCACATGAAGGGCCTGACACCAAGTGGGGTACGAAGTGTCACACACAGAGGAACAGATGCATGCACATACGAGTGCAAGAACATGTGTGTGTGCACACATGCACACATACACACATGAGCGCTGGGATTAAAGTTGCTGTGAGGACTAAATGGCAGAGTGCACCCAAAGCACTTGGAATGCGGCCTGGCATATAACACAAGCTCAAAGAACAGTTCTTGCTGTTATTATTATCAGTGTTGGCTTGGTTTTTATTTATTCACAAACCAAAATATGTCAAACTCTCACCCCATCTTACTCTTTGGAATATACATGCTTGCTTTTTGCCAGAAAGATTCTTGCCAAGGAACGCTTTTGCTCTATGTATTTAGAAAACCCAGCCTAACCTACTCTTGGCTTTACACCAGGAGCCAAGCTGGCTCTACCTAAGACAGCACCCCAACCCTCCCCATAGGAAAGCCACTGCCCCTCACCAGACCACTGCCAGGTAACTTACGCAGCTGAGGAGAAACTCCAAATGCCGGAAATGGATTCTCCCAATCTTCTGCATATAAAAAGGTTTTTAATTTTTTTTAACTGAATCTCATTAGTTTAAAACTCCTAAGTGTGACTCTGCTCCTTTCCCTGGCATTCTTTTTGAGATCAGGAAAAATACAATTTTCCTCCTTGAGGAAAGCAGGATTCCATGTGCACCGACTTTCTCTAGGTAACACAGCCTCAGCCCTATAATTAATATCCCCGCCATCCACAGCCTTATAATTAAACGTGACATGCACGGGACGGGGAGGAAGTCACAGGAAGGCGGGAGGTGAATCGCTGGGCTGGTTTCTGCCACCCATTTCCCAGGAGCCCACAAGGAGGGCGGGAGGCCGCACAGGGAAAGGGAGTATCCCTGAAGCCAGCTGGAGGTCACCGGTGCCCCCGCGATCACTTATTTCCCCGGGCGGTCTGTTTTCCAAGGTGCTTCATGGAACATTAGGCAAGCAGAGCCTGATAATGGCTGCAGAGTCTCTGTCCACCTCCTAACATCTACATTGCCCGCGGAAGACACAGCTACTCCGTCACACAGGCCAGGGCTCGTGCAAAAGGAAATGGAGGATTTGTCCCGAGTCCTTGCCCACTCTTCAGCCTGACCATTAGTTTCTAGAAGAATACAGGCAGGGAAAATCTCGGGGAAGCTTCTGTGCTCGTTGCCGTGGGTGTGGTCCTCCCGCCCACTATGGGACCTCTGGCTTATAGATCTTCTGGCTCCCCAGGTCCTCCCATTCGTGCTCACCTGGCATCCCACCTGCCCCCTCCGTTTCCCAGACCTTCTGCAGTAAGTTGAGCCATATGTCTGGATGGGGCAAATAGACCAGGAATAGAAGTGGCACATGGGGCTGCCATGCTGTGAAAACCATGCATCTCCTTTTTCTCTTGACTCCTCTTCTTTGGCAAACTTTGCAGGACGTTTAGTCAGGATGAAGCGGCTGCATGGTGGCAGAACCCCCTTTAGCTGGAGTGTGGCGAGCAGAAGTCCCCACCCATCGGCACTGGGCAAGCCCTGTGATCAAGAAAGAGCCCTTTCTGAGGTAAGCCACCGAGGGTGTCGGGGTTATCGCCTGCCACACTCCTATTGCCACTTGTACTGAAATAAGCACCTACTGTCTGCCAGGCACTGGATGGAACATTCAACAGCATAGTAGAAAAGACAGGAAAAACAAACAGGTAAACACATATTAAGAAGCCTGATCAATTCTTTGATGGACAACAGGATTATGTCCTGGACAATAGTAGGGGTAACCTGTCTATCTGTTTTGCTCAAGGAAGGCCTCTCTGAAGAGGGACATTAGGGCGAGATGATAAAATTCAAGAAACCAGCCCTGCCAAGTGTGGGAGGGAGGGCAGGGCATTGCAGCAGTGGAATATCTTATGCAAAGGCCCTGCGGTAGAAGAGAGCCTGGGACTCGCTAAGGAACAGAAAGGGAGCCAGTGTGGCTGCGAATTGGTACAGGCGTGGACCAAGGGAGGTGGAGGATACAGGCGGGGACACACCACAGGGGCTCCTATTTTTCCCAGTGAGAGGACAGTCCATTGGAGGATTTTCAGCAAAAGAGACATGATCTGATTGACTTTTAAAAGGAGCACCCTGGCTGCTGTGAGGAGGAAAGGCTGCATGGAGGCAAGAGAAGCAGCAGGGAGATGAGAGGGAGCCAGTGGGCATCGCCCCCGTGGAAGCTGACAGTGGTTCAGGGCAGTGGCCGGGGAGAAGGGAAAAGGGTCAGACATGAGAAAGTTGTCACGGCCAATTAATCAGGTGTCACCAGTTCTCTAGGCATGTCTGCCCTGTGCCCCACATCCAGATGTTCACAGCTCCATTTGCTGAGGTCCCCGGCCCCTGCCAGCAGCAACTCGTGGCTTCCAGCCTGGTCCCCTCAGAGGGCACTATGCCTTGACCCTAAGGAAAAACCGGAGGCCCTTGGAGCCAGGGGAGAGCGTCCTGAGAGGCAAGAAGGCCTCTCACGTGGCTGCCGTGTCACAGCACAGGCCGGGTGACCCTGGCTTTCAAGCTGTGCCCTTCCAGACACAGATCTTAATGTGCCCTGCGCCCAGCACTTAACTCTTTCTCCCCCGTCCCTTTGTTCCCTTTGGTTTGAATGTCGGCAAATGGCCTCCTGCAAGTTCTCTCCTTTCAAGCAGATGTCCTCTGCCCGGAACGTGTGCTCCTCTCCTTGAGAAAGTCACTCTCAAATGCGATTATGCCTCTGAACTTCCTGCAAAAACTTGTTAAACAGGCAGATTCCAGGCACGCATTGCACACCCACCAAAGCAGACCGCTCAGGAAGGGCCCCAGGCAGCTTGTGTCCCTAACAGCCCCTCGGGAGACCTCAAGGAGCAGCCAGCGTAGGAAAGCGCCGAGCCGACGTGTCGGAGTGTGGAGGTGCCTCCTTTTCCTTTCCCCGAACTCGTACTGAGGGACTGCAGCGCGACCTGGCGTGCACGGCCCGGACTTAGCTCTGACCTCACAGGTTGCGAGGGGGTGGTCCCCATGAGAGCCCCTCCCTTCAGATGCCAGCCCAGTGCTCCCGGGTCCCCAGGCCACCTGCACTTCTGACCCACTGGCTACAGATTTGGGCTCCCACAACCTCCCTGGGTTCAGTAATTTGCCAGGAGGACCCTAGAACTCAGGAGACCGTTGTACTTGGGATTAGCATTGTTACGAAGGACACAAGTGACAAGGAGCCAGGTGAAGAGATGCTTAGGGCCAGGCCTGGGAGGGCCCCAAACACAGAGCTTCTGTGCTGTCTCCCTTTGGAATCAGGGCTCGTCTCGTCCCCCTTCTGGCACATGGATGTATATCACCACCCAGGAAACTCACCTGCACCTGGGGTCCAGAGCTTTCTCTGTAGGCAGGATGACTGGATCACTGGCTGCACCACTGAACTCACCCCCTAGCCCCCTCCCCTCCCGCAATGTGTGATATCACAGAGGTCTAAGCCCCAGTCCTCTGACCACATGATTGATCTTTCTAGCAGCCTCATCCTGATTTATCTCATTAGCATAAACCCAGGTCTGGTCCAAGGGGCCCCCATGAATAGCAAAGATACTGCTATCACCCAGGAAATTCTAAAGATGTAGAAGTTTCCTCTCAGAAACCAGGGATAAAGGCCAGACAAATCCTTTATTGTATTGCAGGGATGTCTGTACTGCACAAATGCTGGCCACTGAAGGATTCTGAGCTTCAACAGAACCAGTGGGATGCAGCCCCTAGGCATAGGAGACCCCCACCTGCTTATCAGAGGCCAAGGTGCCAGGGATAAAAGACAGTATTGGGTCTGGCCATTAATCATGGGGTGTTGCTTGCTATGGAGATAAAGGAGTTGAACTGGGAGAGAATTTGGAGAACATTCTGGAAGGAGCCTATAGGAGGGCTATGTGAGTCTCTGGGAAAGCCAGGGTGCCTGAAGGGCAGGCCGGGCTCTGTGGTCTCCATGTCTCTCCAGGATCACAGGCAGGCAGAGCTCGAAGGCGGGGGAGAGGAGGAGTGGCCGTGTCCGGCACAGGGACCACCATCTGCACTCAAGCGCTGTGTCCACTTCCAGGCCCTGAGTTTCCATAGCAACTCCAGGCCCTCACCCTCCCATCCCCACTGCCTCAGGCTTTAAATGGGCAAGTGAAGGAGAGAGGATAAAATTTGGCTTTTCGTTGACTAGGACCAGGATCCAAGAATTAAACTGCTCCTATTTAAGACCGCTGTCTCCCAGCCCCGTGAGAAGAGGTAATTTCACAAATTAGCCAAGAACCCTGAATAAGTTAACCCCTCTGCGGCAGGAGTACGACTCCCTCCACTGCAGAGGGCTTGGGCCCGCACATTCCTGAGGCTTTCTGCTGCCCTTTCCCTCTGGGCCTGTTCAAATCACTCCAGCTTCTCTCCAAGGAGCCAGCTAGGTCTGCTGGATGCTGCCAACTCCAAGGAGTCGTCAACATTCAAAGTAGCGACTTGGGCCAGGAAACATGGAAAGGGGAAATTCTGTGTGGATGACTAATGGATCCAGCATAGAACCACTCCCCTGTCACAGCCGCCACTTTAAAATTAATTTCCAGGTGACAACAGCCGTCTGACTATAGACAGCTCAGCGCAGAGATGGCCAGTCAGGCTCACTCCCAGATGCCTGGTCAGCGATTTCCAAAGCATCCACTCCGCAGTTCCTGATTCCTCCACGAAAGCCTGGCTCTTTCCTCCCATCTCCCAGTCCCAGGACAGAATCTAGGGTGAGAGGTGAGGGTGGCCACCCTGATCCATTGCCGATGGCAGGCCCTTCTCCCCGCTCTGCCTCCAGGCCCCCAGGTGAGTAAATTAGGTAAAGCTATTGGAGTTCATCTGAGGCTGGCAGGTTTTCCTGGTCAGCCCGACCTCCACAAACACCTCCACAATAAGATTTCTATTAGGGAAAAATGGCTTCAGAGTTTTAAGTGTGTTTCCTGCCCCCGAGTGCCATGGCTTTAATTAACAGTATCACCAAGTGGCTCTCCCTGGCAAATGGCAGCAGTGGAGGCCCGAGGAGGAAAGAGCAGAGCAACTTCTGTTTGCGTAAATCCTGCCAGCACAGAAGCTGCATCTCAGGGTAGAGTGACGGCAAAGTGAGCTTTCAGGCCACAAGCATCTTCTGGCAGAATCCGGGCTGTTTCGGCCGCCAGGTGCAGCAGGCTCACACAGTCCATGCCACGGTGACAGGCAGGGCTGAGGCCATCCCTGGTTTGCTGCAGGAAAGGCTGCAGTGAAATCCCAGCTGCAGTTGGCACACGGGCAGCCAGGCGGCACGTTGGCACAACAGAACCCGCCCGGGCCTCCCAGGCCCCGAGGTGAGCGCCAGCCTTGAGAAAATCAATCAGCTGTGGCTCTAACCAATTACAGGCTCAGCTCACCCCACGACTGGCACCATGAGAGGCAGGGCTCTGCATCCCGGCCTGGCAGAGCCCTCAGTTGGACCAGCGTCCAGCTGCAGCGTGGCTGCAAAGTCCCCTCCCCTGCCGTAGTGGCGGCGGAGCCACTACCAGACAACTCGCAGGGGAGCCCCTAAGCTGCTCACCCAGCAGGGTTCTTTGAGACACTTATTAATTTTCTTGTTAATAACAAAAAGAGGTAGGGATTCATTGTGTCAACCCCTGTTCTCTCCCTGACTCTCAGTCTGTTTGGCTTCGGCCAGTCGTGTGAGAACGACCCCCAACCAGCAGTGCAGATCAAGTAAAAGGCAGGCAACCCTCATTATCCATATATTATCAATTCCTGGAAATGCTTTGCAGAGCAAATTTTCATCGGAAGCTCATATCCCATTATGTGAAATGGGAAAAAACAATAACACATTTCCAGACCGTCCAAAAACCCCCAACCAATTTTCCAGGTATCACTAAAACACTCCAAAACACCCATATAACAACACACTAAGGATTTTTGCATAATGCAAGCATGTAAAACACCTACTTTCTAATTAGTCCACACCGAATGAACTCATGGAGGGGAATGTTTACGTGCAGTATTTAACTGCACTGAACAGAACCAGATTCGAAATCTATTTTCTTTCTACACTGCAAGGGGCAGGTATAAAACGTAACCCCACAAATGCAGACACAGATTGAAGATAGGCTCTCCGTAAGTCAGAGCGCGGTTGGGAGTACCCCCAGCGCCCTGCAGGAGCAAGCAGGGCACCACGGGGGGCTCAGCCCGGGAGGTGGGGGGATAACACACACACCTGCCTGCACAGCCTGTGTGTGAGGCCTGATGGGAGGAGAGCCAGGGTGCATTTGCAGCGCTTGCCCGGCCTGCATCCGGCCTCACACCCGCGCCGTGCTTTCCACTGCACATCCTCACAGATCCATCTCAGGGAAGTTTTATTCTGTGAATGAATTTGGGGGATATTTTGACAAGTCATTAAGGTGAGTATTCAGGTCATGGAAGTGTGGGTGGCGAGGTGCTCAGTACTTGGTCTCGTCTCCCCAAAGTTCCTTGAGCAATAACTGTGTGTCACAGGGACGACTCTGACCACGGGGGGAGGGACCAGCCTTCCTCTTCCCCTTACCTGCTCAAGAAAACGGCCCCTCCGCTGTTTTCCCCACATCCACCTCATCCCCACGCCAGCCCAGGCTGGTGTGACATCACCAGGAGGAGGGATGAGGCAGGAGGAAAACGTGGAGCAGAAAGCAGGACAAGGACCCCTGAAGATGCCTCAGCCAGAGAGTTTGGGGAAGAGGAAGTCCCTGGAAAAGGCACTGGTGAGAGAGCGTGGGGGAGGGGAAAGCCAGGAGAGGGGTTACGGTGTGGAGAGGAATACTAACCGGACCTTTTGAAAGCTCCTTGAGAAATTCACACTGGGGATTCACTCACCTTGAGGGCTTTTGGTGGCTGGACTGTGCCTCCCTAAGTGGGACACTGATTTCAGACAGGACAGGCAGAGCCCCGGGTTCCGTTGGAAAGTTTGTTTCGGTTTGTCCCAAATCCACTGTTCCGTGCAGCAGCATCCAGTTTTCAGGCGGGCCGCGTGCGCGCCCGGGAAGCCTTGTGTTCGAAGCGTGCCCCAAAGGCACGGGCCAGGGCCACAGTGCCCGGTCACCTGCAGCAGGTGCACCTGGGCTTCCCGGGTACAGGGACCTGCAGCCCGTGCCCTTTGGATGCTGTGGCCGTGTCTCCACTGGGAACGTGTGCCACATGCATCTTCTCATTGAAAAGGCACCGTCACCCTGTCCCGCTGCAGATGAGAGCTAAGCCCAGAGCGGGCAGGCAGCTCCCCAAAGGCCCTGCCGACCTCAGTGAACTGGGTTTGGACCCAGGCTGGATGATTTATGTAGGTATATATCTACATTGTTTATATATGCATCCGTATGCGTGCATAGCTATGTGTACATGTAGGTATACACACATCTGGGAGTATATGTGTATCTATGTGTACATGTAGGCATAGGTATAGATGTACATGTACATGTATGTGTGTCTGCGTATGCATATGTACATGCCTATGCGTGTGTGTCCACGTGTGTGTGTATCTGTGTGTGTATATTTGTATGTCTATGCGTAGGTCTACGTGTGTATGTGTAAGTATATATATGTGTGTCTATATGTATGGATGCGTGCTTATAGGTACTTCTCTGTGCATGTCCAGAGCAGAGCTGTAAAATCCCCACAGACAGGAGGCAGGTGTTTCATGGCCATGTCACCAGAACACATTCTCCAAGGACCCCTCAGTTACTACCTGCTGGTCACTTTTGGGTCCCCACCCCGCCCTCCCCTGGGCCCCATTCTGGGACTCCCAACCCTCAGCCCTACTGCACGGGTCCCACTTTCCCCAGAGGCTGCCAGGCCCCCCGGCTGCTTCCCTGGCCACATCAGGTGACTGCAGGAGGACAGGATGGGCAAGGCCTTGAGGGGAGGCCTGGGAACCGGCAGAGACGAAGGCCCCTGGAAGGAAGTGAAATCCCCTCTCACTTAACAGCCTAATAAGGATTTGAACCAGAGTCTGCGAGGAATTGTCAGTTTAACTGTTTTCTCAGATGTGGAGACCACGTCTCGGCTTCAAAGCGCCGGGAGAGGAACGTGTCAAACTGGAGAAGGGAGGATGGAGGCCTCTGGCGCCGGCTCCGCCTGGCCTGAGCACCCCCAAGAGGCCCCAGGAAACTGCTCTGGGCCTCCCTAGACCTGGGGCTGAAAGGGGGGTCGGTGGGGAGGCGAGAGCCAGATGTGCAGGTGAGAGAGGGGGCAGCCACCCACAGGAGACCGCTGGAAATGATGTCAGCAAGACATAGCGAGGAGCCGCTTGAAGACTTGAAGATATTTCCAGATGCCTGGGCAGCCTGATCCACTGGAGGGAGGGGCCGGCGGAATGAGAGGGTCTGCGAGGGTCAGAACCGGATTCTCAGGGAACTGCACAGAACCGGTCAGGTTGAACCATTTGGACAATTTCACATTCTCTGCAGGTGAAATTCCCACCCCTGACCCTCCCTGCAGGTGCCTGGGCCCCTGCCACCCCCGTCCTCCCCTCCCCTCCCCCCAGTGTTTGCTGCTTAGCCACACTGGCCTCCTCTCTGGTCTGAACACCCAAGCCCATCCCGCCTCCAGAGTCAAGCCAGCTGCCCTCTCTGCCTGGGAGCCCCCCCCAGCTCCCCGGCCGGCGGCTCCTTCTGGCCACTCAGGTCTCAGCCTTCCTTCCCTGGCCACCCTCCCTAAAATTGTGCCTCAAATAAATCCCACCCGACACCCTCTTCGCCTTCCCAATCCGGTTTTCTTTCTTGCGCCTTGCGCGATCCCACTTTATCTTAACTCCTTGCTAGTTATTTTCTTTCCCTGCTACTGGAATGTGAGCTTCCTGGCGGTCATGGACCTGGTGTGTGCTGATCATGCTGCATTCCAGACCCTGGAAGAGGCCCAGGCACACAGTTGAGGCCCATAAATACGTGTTGATGAGTGAATGATCAACCACAGCAGCAGGACGGGCCTCATGGAAGCATTGTCAAGAACCCCCTGTTTAAAGGCAGCATCTCTCTGAGCCTTGGTGCACCAGGAGCAGAGAGAACGGCCAGTCCTCTCTGCAGGGGGCCGACTTTTGGGAGCAAGTGGGCATCGGTGCCCACTGGGAGTACACGGGAGCCCTGGGGTCCTTGGTGCCGGCCACAAAGCCAATGCTGTTTGTTTAGAATCCTGCTCGGGATGAAGGATGGCTCTCACACTGGAGATCTCTTAATGCAACAAGCAAACACCACGGGGTTTTTCTAAGGCGGCTGCTGCCAGCAGGCAGGGCAGAGGCTCCCTTTCCTGGCTTGCTTCTGCCACCTGCTGGCCACTCACTGACATGCCTCGGAGAAGAAGGGTTTATTTTCCAGTCTCACACAAGCTCTTGTTTCCTTCTAGGAAGAAGTCGTTGCCAGTTTTATTCCTCCCTTGGCAGGAGCCGCCTGGCTGACCCATCCCTTGAGTAGGGCAGGTTCTAGGCCACAGGTGGGTTGGGGAAAGTCACTGGCCCTGCAGCTATGACTGTTCCCCATTTCACATATTAACTCTGTTATCAACCTCAAGCCTGTGAGTCAGGGGCACTATTACAGACGCAGGCGTTAGGGCACAGAGAGTTAAGTAAGCCGCTCAGAGCTGCACAGCACAGGGGGTGGAGCCAGGCAGTAAGGCACCTGAGGGCACGTTCTACCAACACCTGTGCAGATGGCCCAGATGCCCTCCCCCTCCTACTCCATGGGGCCCCACGGGAGCACCAAAGAAAGAGGGATGTGGGCACAGTGGAGGACGGAGGAGAGGAGTCCTGCAGTTCATCCTCTCGGAGGCCTAGAGAAGCCTCCATCTTTTGAGCCTCCATCTTCTGATCTGGAAAATGGGAGCATTGAACTACATGATTTCAAGGTTCCACCCAGGGTTCTCTGGACAGGATAGAGAGACAGAGGTATAATGGTTAGAGCCCAGCCTCTCTGGTCAGAAAGACCCAAGGTAAAGACCAGACACTTCCACTCACTAGCTCTGTGAACAGGAGGGAAGTTCTGTGTAACGTCTAAGCCCCAGCTTCTCCTCTCCTACCTGTTAATGAGGATAAAAACGAGGCCAGTTGCAAAGCTGTTAGCACTGTGATGGCTCAGAGTAAGTGCTTAATAAATATCACCTGTCATTACAATGCTATTAAAGGCTCTGAGAAGTCCCGCAGGAAAGCCCGCTGCTCAACCTTAGCTTAGCCTCTCCCCAGCCCAGCTGCCTACAGAGCCATGGCAGAACTCTGCAAGATGCATTGTTGCACAGAGTGCGTTTGCCCTCATCAGTTTACCTTGCTTCCTGGGAGCCATGGGAGCCTCAGGCCCCACTGAGAGCAGAATCAGGGTGGGAGCCCCGGCCCCTTGACTCTGAGCTCTATGCTCTTTCTTGCTTTTACAACATCTCTCTACCCCAAAAGCAGTTCTCACAACCAATAAACAAAAGAATTAGGAGCCATTCTCTCAGGCTCCCAAGACTAAATATTTCACGTTTGGATTCTGCAGCGCTTGTCAGCATTACAGACCACAGGCAATTAAGAGTCCAAGCCCGGGAAGCCTGTTGTTAATAATTCTGTCATTATTCTCAATTTTCAGCACCACCACACATGAAACACACATTTCCAATTTCTTCAAAGGTGCTAAATGGCTTTTGCACTGTGTAGTAAAAGTTTACCATCAGCCAAATGGCTGCAAAGCGGACCCGTGGTCCCCAGGCCCCGGGCTGTGATAACTACTGGTTTGGCCTGACCCACTGGGGTGACACCCTTTCTCAGTGTTTCATTCTCAGGACGGGTGAGCTGGACCACGGCAGCCGTCAGGCGCACTCAGCCCTGCTGGGCGTCGCTGTCCGCCAGGATTTCACAAGGCCCAAAGCACCGGTGTGAACAGGAAACCACTCCCTCCTGCTGGGGCAACACCCCAGAAATGGATGGAGAAAGCCAGTGACCAGCCTCTCTGTTGGGGTCGGAGTCGAGAGGAGGGAAGTGAGTCGGCATCTGAGGCAATGTCTGCAGAGAGAGCGAGTAGGAGGGCGAGTTCAAGGGGCCAGGCCGCAGAGGCTGCAGGGCTGCATTTCCTTTTCAGGGCGAGGAAGCCTTGAACCAGAAATCAGAGCTTTTAGGGGTGGTGAGGAGGCCTGGATGTAGACGGCGGGCGAGCCCTGCCCTGATGCTGTGACAGTAACCAGCTCCAGGTGACGGCTACGTGCCTGCCTTTTACACCCACCAGCCAGCCTTCTGAGCTCTTTCCTAGAGTGACTCTTCTCCTGAGACCCCCGTGGGCCGCCCCCGTTAGTAAAACGGGACACGACACGGAGAGGCCAGGGGCTTGAGACGAGGTCCTGAGGATGCCGGGGGGCTCTCCCCACACGGTGAGTCACGGTGCCCCTTTTGCGTGATGCTGTGAAGAGTGAACGTGGCGACTTCACCGAGTGGGGCATCTTAGAGGAGAGTGGAGGGGTGGGCAGGTGAAGGGAGCAGATAAGTGGAAAGGGGTGACCCAGCAGAGGGAGAAGTTGTGACATAGGATGCCCTGTGCCAGGAAGGGCCGGGGTACATCTGAAGGACAGAATGACTGACAAGGCATGGGGCGTCAAGGGCCACATGGAGGGGCCTGGTGGGCAGGGCCACGGGCGGGGCAGCATGGAGGGTTTTGAACAGTGTGCTGTGAAGAGAACATGGTGGCCTCACCTAGTAAGTGGGGGGGCGGGGGGGTGAGAGCCCCACCTCCACAGGGAGAAGCCCAGAGCATCTGTGTTCACAGGATGTTCTACAGGACATTGGGCCCCACAAGCCTGCCCCAGAAGCCACCTGCTGGGGAGAGGATGGGGGACCTCAGGGACAGGTGGAATTCCCCCTGAACGAACACACACACACACACACACACACACACACACACACACACACACCCCATCTAGAGCAGCCCAGCTGGGGCTCGTGTGTCTCATGCCAAACGCTTCATCTAGTTATAGTATCTCAGCTCCCATCCAGCACAAACATTTCATAACTGGGTCCATTTAGCGTGGTGATTAGCATGCAATGACTTGTCAATAAAGCTCACCAAGAGGTACTGATGAGACAGAGATAGGATAAGACATTTAACAGCAAGCAAAACATCCAGGAGACACAGCCAGCGCCCTCCTCACCTCCCCCCAGACTCAGAGAAAATCAGGTTTACAAAGCTTCTTGGTTTGAAACGACCAAGGACCCTCACCAAGCAACACTGGCCTCCCTGTGGACATTCGTACAGGTGGGACACAGGGGCACGTACTGACGATATAACCCAGCAATTCTGCATGTCTGAAGCAAAGGTAAATATTTCTTCCTAATTTTTCTGACTATAGAAGTAATATATTCTCTAGGCATAAAATTTAGGATTTATAGAAGCATATGGAGAAGAAACCCAGCTGTTGAGCAGTAGCCACTATAAATAGTTTGATCTCTTTCTTCCTAGCCATCTACGCTCAGACAGACATTTTATTTTTGCAAAAAAATGGGGAAATATAAAAAACTTATATTCTGATTTTTCTTCAAAATTTTATTTTTAGTATTTTAGCATAATAATAATATATTTTAATACTTTTAGTGGCAGTGTATTATTCCATTTACCTGGATATACCATAATGGACCCTCATTGTTTGGTTTAAGGTGCTTCCAAGTTTTCATGTACGTAGTTTGGGGAAAGTTCTCCTTCCAACAATGGCAGGCTAGGGTCTCTGAACCAATCCTCTCATTTAAAAAATAACAAAATCGGGGACTTCCCTGGTGGCGCGGTGGTTAAGAATCCACCTGCCAATGCAGGGGAAATGGGTTTGAGCCCTGGTCCGGGAAAATCCCACATGCTGCGGAGCAGCTAAGCCCCATGCGCCACAACTACTGAGCCTGCAAGCTACAACTACTGAGCCTGTGCTCTAGAGCCCTCGCATGGCAACTGCTGAGCCCACGTGCCACAACTCCTGAAGCCCACGCACCTAGAGCCCGTGCTCCACAACAAGAGAAGCCACCACAATAAGAAGCCTGCGCACCGCAACAAAGAGTAGCCCCCACTCGCCGCAACTAGAGAAAGCCTGTGCACAGCAACAAAGACCCAATGCAGCCAAAAATAAAATAAAATAAATAAAATATGAGAAGAAATGAGAGAAATAGAAAATTTAAAAAATAATAAAATCTGGACAAAAATTTAAAAATACCCGTTTGAAGATATCAAGGAGTTAACAGATTAGTGAGAATGAGGGGCCAAAATCCGAGCCCATGAGACAGGAAACCAAATATTGAATGAATAAATGGATGAATGAGTCAATGAATGAATGAGTGAATGAACAACCTGACAAAGAAGGAGCAAATGGGTCGAACCTGCAGGGCCTGTTGGCGAAAAGCAGCAGCTACTCGGGCTCCATCTCCGTCTCTGAGCAGCCACCCCGTCACTCATCTTGCTCTCCTGGAAGCTGTGTGTGCAGAGGACAGTGCTTGTTTGTGCCGCTCTGGGTGTGTTTGCGTTTAGAATCATGAAGTTTACTCAGTTAAGAAATAGAGTGGAAAGGAGGCCTCTGCTTGACAGACAAAACAAAGCAAGGAGAGGGGAGAGGGTCTAGGGCAGCTTCCTCCTGCTCTCAACTTTAAAGAAATAACCACTTTCCCTGCATCCTGTTGGGTGGCAATGAGTTTCCTGGCCACGTCTCTTTTCCTACAAGAGCTGCGCTATAAGTCTGTGTGTACATGTTTACAGCTAACCTTGTGGAGCGTTATGTGAATTTATTTAACCCTCACAGCAATCCTGGGAGGTAGGAACTGCTGTTGCCATATTATAGAGATGGGAATGCTAAGACCAGAGAGGTGATGTGACTTGCTCATGGTCACACAGCCACAGGTGGCAGAGCCTGGATTTAAACCCTGGCAGCCTATGCCCTTGATCACCAGAAGCCTCAGAAACCAATGGGATGATTTCTAAAGAAATTCAGCACATGTCTGTCAAATTGGATCAGCCTGCTATTTCCAGGAACTGTAAGTGCCTTGGGTTTAATTTAATGAAACCTATTATTGGAAAAGATATACCAAGATACTCATTTCTTAAATAATGGGAATAAGGCTGCAATTGTATGGTGTTGTTTTGAATGGGGGTTGGCCCCTCTGTGAAGAGAATGGCTGAGATGAACAGCAGCTTGGAGGCTGCAGGGGGCTTGGGGTCCTGGAGGGTGTGCAGGTCTATCCGTGTCACACCAGGAAGGGAGTGCCAGAACCGGCCCTCACCAAGGGCTCAGGAAGCTGAGCTAAAAGGCTCCCTAAGATCCCTTCTTGCTCGAAAATGATGTGACCAACTCTGGTCGTCTCTCCGGGGGCTTCTTGCTACCTGTGTGGGGTGGCAGACAGCCCACATGGCACTGAGCTGGCACCCACTTCTTCAGACTTGGGGGCTAGTGTTAGTCTCCCTTCCTGTCCCTTGTATCATTGCTGTCATTCATTTCACTTATACATAAGCACACAAAAGGTTATGTAGAGAGATACACATACTTGAATACATTGTTGCTATTGTTTTTTTAAATAAACTTATTTTCTAGATCAATTAATAATAAAAATAAAAGTTTTTATTTTACCTTCACCTCTGCCTTCTTTGATACTCTTCTTTCTTTATGTAGATCTGAGTTTCTGACCTACATTATTGTCCTTCTCTTTAAAGAATTTCTTTTAACATTTCTTGCAAGGCAGGTATACTGGCAACAAATTCCCTCAATTTCTGAGAAAGTCTTTACTTCCTCTTCACTTTTGAAAGATAATTTCACAGGGAACTGAATTGTAGATTGGTGGGTGTTTTCCTCTCAACACTTTAAACCTTTCACTTCACTCTCGTGCTTGCACAGTTTTTCAGGAGAAGTTGGATGTAATTCTTATCTTTGCTCCTCTATAGGTATTGTGTTTTTTTCCTTTGGCTTCTTTCAGGATTTTTTCTTTATCTTTGATTTTTCTGTAGTTTGAAAATGATAAGCCTAGATGTAGTTTTAGGGGCATTTCACTGTGTTCAATGTTCTCTGAGTTTCCCGGATCTGTAGTTTGTTACCTAAAACTAATTTGGGAAACTCTCAGTCATTATTGTTTTAAATATTTCTTCTGTTTCTCTCTCTCTTTCTTCTTCTGGAATTCCCATTACGCGTGTGTTACACCTTTGGTAGTAGCCCCACGGTTCTTGGATATACTGTTCTGGTTTTTTTTTTTTTTAATCTTTTGTTCTCTTTGCTCTTAACTTTGGCTGGTTTCTGTTGAGAGATCTTCAAGCTCAGAGATTCTTTTCTCAGCCATATCCAATCTACTAACAAGCCTGTCAAAGGCATTCTTCATTTCTCTTAGTGTTTTTGATCTCTAGCGTTTCATTTTGGTACTTTCTTAGAATTTCTCTCCACTTACATTGCCCATTTGTTCTTACATGCGGTTTACATTATCCATCAGATCTCTTAGCATCTTAATCATGGTTGTTTTCAGTTCCTGGTTTGATAACTCCAGTATCCCTGCCATATCTGAATCTGGTTCTGATACTTTCTCTGTCTTTTCAAATTGTGTTTTTTGTCTTCTGGCATGCCTTGTAACTTTTTTATTTATAAGTGAATATGATGTACCAGGTGGCTAAAAGGAAATGCTCTAAGTAGGCCTTTGGTAAAATGGTGAGGAGTTGGGGGAGGGGAAGGGTCCTTTAGCCTATATTCAGGTCTCAGTCTTTTAATGAGCCTGTGCCTCTGGGCTGTGAACTTCACAAGTGTTTCTGATTTTTTTTCTTCCCCTTAGGTGGGAGGGAATGGCTGTTGTGAGCTGGGAGTTGGGCATTTCCCTTCCTCCAGGTCAGTTAGGGGGCTGGTAAATCCCCAGGAGGTTAGATTCTGGTGAACTCGTTTCTCCCCGAGGGCAGGCCTGATTAAGAACTGAATGCTCTGGTGTATTTCAAAATGGTTCCTTTTTCCCTCCCCTGCTGGAAGCCAGAGTGAGTTCACGACCCCCACCCCTCGCCCCGCCCATGCTCACTGTGGAAACATGGCCAAGCTCCTCCAGGTCAAATTCACACAAGTGTCCGGGCCCTGACACAGGTGCTCCTGGAGTTTCTCTCTCCCAGGCTGGTTCACACTGAACTTCAGCAAATCACCAGAGGTCAGATTTCCCGGCCCCAGTGCTGGCCTCTGCGGAAGTTTCTGCTCAAGTAAGTTGTTCCTTTGTATCTGCCTGTCAGCGTCTCCAGTTTGGGGTGCAGCAGTTTGCCCTGTGACCTCACTTCTCTGACAGATCGAGGAAGAGCTGGTGCTTTTTCAGTTTGTTCAGCTTTTTACCTGTTCTTAGGATGGAGTGGCGTCTTTCAGCTTCTTACACGCTGGGCCAGAAACCAGAAGTCTCTAATTATATTTTTCACATCGTATTTTTATGGTTTCCTCCCATTCATGGCAGGTGTTATTAGTTTTCCATTTAGAAGATGTTTTTCCATTTGGCAGGTTTACTTTTTAAGTACATTTATTTTAAGGGGAAGAAAATGACTGTTGTATTTTTTAATGAAGAAAATAGCAGGACCAGCCTTACACAAACAGCAAAGATCTTGAAGGTGGTATTTGAACGACAGAAGTTGGGGAGGCCGGAGATAATGGATGTAGCGCAGCAGGAACACAGTAAGTGTGCTGTAAAGCAGAGCTGTTGTCATTATGATCATTAGCCCTGGTTAGCTGGCCCAGCGAGAGCAAAGGAGCCGGCTTGTGCTAACCCACTTCCAGCCACCGCCCTCTGGAAAAAGAGATTGGCTCTGAGGGCAATGGGGATAACTACACAGGGGACCTGAGCCGCTGTGCCTGGTGGTGATTCATTGCCCCCTCTCCATGAAGCTTCCAGACAACCCCTGCTGATGGTTGTAATCACACCGTCAACTTGGGCTTCCCTCCAGCCACAAAAAGAAAGCCCCTTATGGCTCAAACAGATGCTCCTTGGGTTTTAGACCACGAGCAAATTAACGGACTAATTCATCCCCGCTCCTCTAAGAACAATATTTCAACACTGTCAATAGCCACAAACTCCCCACTGGCAGACAAGACCACCCACTGCTCAAGAGACCCCAGGAGGCAGATGACATCCTTTGCCTGTGGTTGTTCAGTGGAGTCCTGGGGTGCCAGACCCAGAGATGGGACAGTCGGCCTCAATCATCCTCAACCCCATCTCCAGGGTGGGACTTCTCACCTGACAGGCTCAGCCCCAGCCAGTTCAGCCCTTAGCCATGTCAGCCACTAGCGGGAGCTAGAGACGCATTCAGAACACACCTGGACAGGGGATCCACAAAGCCTGGTTCTCATGATACGTGAAAACAAAATGGTTTTATTTACATGAAGACAAAAATGAGTGAGGTCGAAGCCAGCAATGTGAAGTATGGCTTGGACTGTGGCTGAAGGATAACCATTCCCTGATCCAAAATGTCAACAGCCCTGCCCATCGTGCTCCTAAGAGAGCTGTGTGCCTGTGCGTCATGAAAGGATCTTTTCATTATTATTTTTAAATGCGCAGGAGTCACTATCTCAGTTATATGAGGACACCATTGAAGTGACGAATGGACAGGAAGATAAAAACAAAGCCGAGGTCCTGGCTAGGTACTGAGAGAAATATGGAATCTGGGTGAGAGAAAGGAAAGCATGGGAGGAGGGTGGAGAAACGGAGTAGAAAGGGGGAGAGAGGAAGGAAGAAAAGAGGAAAGAAGGACAGAGATAAAGTATTATGAGGACCCTCTGGATTAGAAGTGACAAAATTGGATTAACAGGAAGTAGAAGGATATTGAACTCATGGAATGGAGAAATCAAAAGATGCATAGGCTTCAGGCAAAGCTGGATGCAGGAGTCGAAACAATGTGTCAGCACCCAGCCTCTCCATCTCTCAAATCTGCCACACGTCCAGTAGGCACCATGGGGCAATGCTGGCCACAACCCACTCCATGGCTCCATCACCCTGCAGCCCAGGGACCCAGGGAAGGAGAGAAACCCAGCATCTCGATCAACCCTTTCAAAAGATTCCCATTGGCTTGCTTGGGTCACATGCTCACCCCTGGGCCAATCACTGGGTCCTGGAACAATGGGACACTCTGATTGGCCGGGTTGGGGCCAACCAGGTTAACAGTCCCACCAGAAACCGGCAGAGAAGAGGAGGGAAGTTCCCAGAAGGAAAGTGTTAGACAAGACAGGAAGGGAAGAGGGGGAAACTAAAATCTCCTGGACAGTTACTCTGTCCAGTTTAATCCTCTTCATAAGCCCGCCGGGTAAGGCATTTTTACCCCCATTTTCTTGATGAGAACATTAAAGCAGTGTCACACCTCGGTGCTTCAGTTCTGCAGACAGGTGGTAGGATGGGACAGTTGTGGATGGATTCATGAGGCCCCAACGCTCCACCACACTACTCAGGAATAGTCCTGTTCATGGGCCCCCCGGGCTGCTGGCCCGTCAGGCGGCGTCCTGCGCTCGAATGCAGCCCTTGGAGTCTTCAAAGGACTTTTGTTACCAAGGATTTACTCACCAGGAAAAATTACCTTCTGAGCCCTACCATATGCCAGGCACTGTGCTAGGTGCTGGAGACACACAGGTGAGTAAGGGACAGTCCCAGCCCTCGGGGAAAGGCAGGCAATCTGGAATGTTGGGAACAAACATTTGTAAAAATATCCTTAAGAGTCAAATCTGGGAAGGCCTTAACTGTGGGGAACACTCCAGAAATTTACTTAATCCAGGAAGTCAAATTTTTTGGCTAGCAAAGACTTTACCTCTTTGGGAATAAATATGGGAAGGTGGGGAGGGGGTTCTTTGTTATGGCTTTGGCTTTCTAGGGCGGAAATATTTCTTAACTGCAGCACACATGTTTCCTGAATACCTGGACAGCAATCCTCCAGCCCCTAGAACCACCCTGCCCTTCACCATGCAGTTTCAATAACCCAAGGCTCAACATCACACATTTCTCTGGTGAATTCAGTCCTCTCCAGAAGACTTCTGAGGATTCTAAGGAATTGGGGAGGAGGGCTTATACTTTCTGACAGTCACCTAACCTTTCCTCTTGCTTCTGTCCAGGACCCTTAATGTCTTTGTCGTCGTTGGGGCCCATGCGCTGCTGCATTTTGCCCCAAACGTGAACACGGTCTCTTTTTCTTTACCCAGTACACCGCCCCACCAAGGCTCAGGCAGAGTTACTGGACGTAAAATTGCAAAATGGTTTGGAGTAGGAGGAATATGACAAAGGCATACGATACCGCAAAATGGAAAACAGCTGAAAACCGGATGTCAGAGGATACCGGCACGGTAAGCCAGCCTCATCCTATCACAGGAGGCCCTAACTGCTGTCTCCCCCACCCCACACACACGGGGTCCTGTTTTCCCAGGTCCCCCAGCCCCACTTCCCTGGTGTCCCATGCCCCACCTCAAATCTTATGTCTCTGGGGCCTCCCCAAAGAATTGCATTTAGGAGCCAGTGCTCAGAGGACCAGGAAGTGTAAGCTACAATAGGGAACGTTGCCATCCAAGAGAGTGAAAAACATTTCTAATTGGACCATGGGGGACTCACATTTATCTTATTCTTCGGAATAACGTGGCCAAGATGTCCCCATTCCAGGCAACACCCTGTATTTTGCTTCTCGTGACAAATAAACCCAACAAAGAGTTTTCTCAGGCAGTGAATTTTCCTTCCACTTCCTAATGCAGCCAGCATAGATTATGCGCAGTTTTTAAGGAGGACCATCTCCTGGTCCTGTTCCACTCTCAGAGCAGATCACTGTGGCTCTCCACTTCCACACTGGGAGAAGTTTGGAAGACCTCGAGCCAGCCTTTTTTGGGGGGAGGCTACCGAAAAAGCTGCTAATCCCCTTGATCTTGGTCACAAGTCTGTCATCTTCTAGGTTGTTCTTCTTGGCAGATAATCAAAATGTGCTAAATTTTAAAACGACTTTCACTTTGGTGTCCAACAACTTGTGGGTTTGGTAGAACCTCTTCGGAAACCAGTAGGGGTAATTTGTTTCCTCTCTTCTGCTATTCAAACATGACTCTAAAGTCTGGCCCCAAAGTACAGATAAAACTCAAGTGTGTGTTATGATTTGGACCCAGAGGGATGTGGCTGGGTAAATTATGGGTCCTTGTCTTGACGCATGCTATAACCTTGAAATAACCGGATTGCCAAGGCAGGAAGAGAACACTCAAGACAATATTTTTTGGGATTAAACACAGTGAACTGTCCTGCCCTTGTCGTGGAGGAGAAGGGTTCCCCGGAGTGGGGGCCATGTTCCCATCCCGCACATAGTCAGCTTCTGGGTGGCCACAGACATTGTGCTTTCAGGGAATGAAATCAGACGTTTCCTTCAGTCACGGCTGTGCCCCCGGATGGGAGAACAGCCTACTGGGGAGTCTTCCTACATTCGGTTACAAAGTTGAAATGGTGTTGTTTTCCAACAGCTGTTACTGTGCTGCCCAAACCCCTTCCTCCCTCAAGTCAGTTGGGTTTCTTAGCTTTTCAGTCACTTTCAGCAGTTCCAACAACTTTACTTGGCTTCTGAAGATTCCGTCCTGTTCCTTTTTTTTTTTTTAACATCTTTATTGGAGTATAATTGCTTTACAATGGTGTGTTAGTTTCTGCTTTATAACAAAGTGAATCAGTTGTACATATACATATGTTCCCATATCTCTCCCCTCTTGCGTCTCCCTCCCTCCCACCCTCCCTATCCCAACCCTCCAGGTGGTCACAAAGCACCGAGCTGATCTCCCTGTGCTATGCGGCTGCTTCCCACTAGCTATCTACCTTACGTTTGGTAGTGTATATATGTCCATGCCTCTCTCTCGCTTTGTCACAGCTTATGTCCTGTTCCTTTTAAACTTTCATTTTCCTAAAGAAATCAGAGCTCACCCCACTGGGGCTGATGCTAGAACCTCTGCTCTCGCAGCTCATCTTCCTAGGACACTGCCCTGCCCCCTTGGAAGAGTTGGGAAGCCTGCCTGACCCCATTCCCCATCTTCAGCGTGCATCGGACTTTCCAGGAGGGCTTGTTAAAGTACTGACTGCTGACCCCGATTCAGTGGGTCTGGGGATGGGGCCTAGGAATTTGCATCACTAACAATTTCCCAGGTCACACTGATGCTGCTGTCCAGGGACCATGGAGAAAAGCTATGTCAGTAGTTCTAAACTAGCTCTGTGGCTTTTAGACTTTAAGAAATATAATGTGAGCCCTGTAATATAAAATTTTCTAATAGCTGTGTATTTTACTACAATTCAAATGTTTTCTAATAGCCACATTTTAAGAAGTAAAAGGAAATAATGAAATTAAATTTTAAATATGCTTTATTTATCCCAGTATACCCAGTACATCTCAAATATATCATTTCAACATGTGACCAGTAAAAAAGTGACTAATGAAATCTTTTCCCTTCTTTTATACTAAGTCTTCAAAAATCAAGGGTGTGTTCTGACTGCAGCACAGCTCGATCAGCTCTCACATACCAGGTGCTCAGGAACCATCTACCATCCCATGGCTACTTTTCTGCAGTTCCAAGACCTCCCCTTGAAAACTCAGAAGCTGCTCTTGCAGAAAGCTCTCCTTGCACCCCTCCTGCCTTGAACCACTTCCCCCAGTGCCTCAGTGTGAACCCACTGTCTCTAATCTAGTGCTGGCCACACACTGGAATCACTCGAGGAGCTTTAAAACATCCTGATGCTGGGACCCTCCCCCTCCCCATGTTCTGATTTCAGTGGTCTATGGTACAACCTGAGCAAGGAGGTCACGTTAACTCTGTCCAGGTGATTCTGAGGGAATGAAATGAGGGAATGGGCACGGTCAGAAGGATAAAATTCCGGCCGGCAAAAGCATTTTGTTTGGTTAACAGTTTTCAAAAACCAAATTTATTTCTAATTTTTTTCTTAAAAAAAAAAAGGAAATTTGACCTAAAATCTCAAAATTCGAGTTTCTCCTGAAAAATTAGGAGATCTGGCATCCCCAGGCCCATGTTTCCTACTTTCCTGTTTGATTCTCTAATGATGGTCAATTTCCCCATTAGAATGGAAGTTCTAAGAAGGGAGAGACCCTGCCTTATTTGCTCTTATTACCCCAGAGTCAAGAATTGGCCTCTGCACATAGTAGATTCTCAATTAATTATGTTGGATGAGTGAATGAGAACAGCAAAATGTAGTGTCAGACTTCGCGAGTGTTGAGGGTTGAACTGTGTCTTCCAAAAAGATATGCTCAACTCCTAACCCCGGTACCAGTGAATGTGACCTTATTTGGTTATAGAGTCTTTGCAGGTGTGATCAAATTAAGATGAGGTTATACCAGATTGGGGTGGGTCTTAGTCCAGTAACCAGCATCCTTGTATGGGGAGGGAGATTTGGACACAGAGAAAAAGACACAGACGAGAAGGCCATGGGAAGCTGGCGACAGAGATTGGAGCAATGTGTCTACAAGCCAAGAAACACCAAGGATCGCTGACACCGCCAGAAGTAAGGAGAGATGCCTGGAGCAGATTCTCCCTCAGAGCCCCCAGAATGAACCAGCCCTACAGACACCTTGGTTTTGGTTCTGGCCCCCAGAACTGTAAGAGAATACAGTCCTGTCATAGGTACCCAGTTGGTTGCAGCAGCCATAGGAAGCTAACCCACAGGGGTTAACGTGCTACTTAGGAAGATTTGAAACAGGCTGATGAGGGCTACCAGCCATGGAAGTGGGATAAGCAGAGTGTCACAGTACACAAACCGAGTGTGCCAGCTTAACCGTCTGCCTCTGTGAGAATGCTTAGATGGCCTTTTGGCTGTCCATGAGGAGAGGATGTTATTAAAAATTAAGTAACCCTAATGTATTGGCAGAAAGACAGTTCTGGTAGCACTGCTTTACCCTTGAGGATAGCAAAGGAGTCACTAAAACTGACTAAAACCTTAAAAAACTTGTGTTTCCAAGGTGGCGTGGGGGCGGGGTGGGGGGAGCTAATTTCCTGTTAACCCCATAAGAAATCTACGAGAAAGCAGTAGCACCGGTCAAGAATTGCTGAAAAATCGAAGACAGAGCTGGAGAGGGGAAAAGTCTTCTTTCTGTATAGGAATCTTATCTATTTATATCAAAATATGCTCAATTTCATAAGATACAAATACACTCAAGAAAATCACCTTTTTATCTTCCTTGTAACGATTATTTGTGGATCTTCATCTCAACACAGTCATCTTTACCTTACCTACTTATAACCTATGCATAGTTGTGATTTTGTGTTGTGTGTTTGGCGTTTAAGATGTTTCTATATGCTCATTAGTGTCTAAGAGTAAACATCTTGTACATGTAATTTCAAGTAGCCATCATGTCAATGCCCTGTGGTGTGTTTATCCAAGGATATAAGTCTCGAGGCTATAACAAAAGGCTGAAAGCCCTTTACAAGTGCAGAAAATATCCATGACATTTCCTATTTCCATTGTGATTCTGAGTCCCCCGGAAATTCTTAGCATCTTGCCAAAGAATAAATAGCACATAGGCCTCTCAGGCATCTTACAGAACTAAAGGTCTCAGATGTAGCTTTTAGGATAATAAATGGAATATAGAATAATAAACATAAAACAAACATGTGGTTCCTGTTTTTAAGTGGAAGGATTACAGTTGGCACAGATTTAGAGCCAGAAGTCAGGGTGATTAAGGAGCAGAGCGTTGCAGCACAGTCATAAATTATGGAGGAGCACTGTGAAAATGCTGCTTTTGAGGAAGCCAGTTTGCTTGCACAAAAATTTTAAAATGTATGTGGGAGTCCCTGAAGCAGATGGGTTCAGTACTAGTAGCCTCACCGCATCCTTTGTCTCGTAGGGAGAGAGGAGAGAGCTGAACAGGAGTAGACCCGGGGCCCAGGCCAGCGTCTTATGAGGCCGAGTGGGACCACTGTGGTGGCTGCCGGTGAGAGGGCAGCACGTCTGCTGGGAAGGAGGCCCAAGGAGGCACATACAGCAAAGTAAAGGAGACCGTGTGAGCTGTGAGGAAGAGGGGGTTGGGAAGATGGCTGCGTGAAGCTGCCAAGGCCCTAAGACACCCGTCTGGTGAAGCAGCCTCTGCTCTGGACTCTGGGGCCACAGAGGGAAGAGACGACCGGCTGGTGGCACAGTCAAGTCGACACCTACCGGGACTTGAATCTGGGCTGCTCTGCTTCCAGGCTCAGAGCCTGCCAGCCAGGGAACCTCTTATATGGTGCAGAGCAGGGTGACAAGGGGGCATCCCTCCAGGACTTGTGAAAGAAGAAAGGCGTTGATCTGTGCAAGGGCTCAGCCAGTCCCCTGGTGAGTCTGCCCTCCCTGGGCT